AGAGCACCCAGCCCTGGCACAGAGGCGGGCTGGATGCAGGCAGCAGATGGGCAGGGGGAACTGGGGGAGAGCTGCAGGCAGCGGGTGCTGCCCCGGGCTGCCTTTGGAAAGCCCCGGAGGCGCCGGGCTGGCACACGCCCACAGCTGCAGGCTGTCAGGGAGAGGGACGCTTCGGATGCGCCGGCCAGGACACAGTGCCCTGCCCAGCCCAGAGTGAAGCACCGGGATGGAGTGACCATTTGCGAGGAACCGGCCAGCAGCGCCACCTGACTGGGACAGGGACCGGCAATACGTTTGTGTAGTGCCCGGGATGCCAAGGCCAGGGTGGACGCCGAGGAGCAGGATCCAAGCACAGCTCTGGCAGCCAGAAACTCCTGCCCAAGTCATTCCCCTTCTGGCTTCCCGTAAATCCATATGCCAATTTTATTTTTTTAATTTTATTTTTAAACAAATCACTTTTGATTTTGGACACCTCCATAGCTGGGAGGACACTTGTCCCCACCTGGGACAGCTGAGCTGAGGCACCCAGAACGAACAATTGGCACCTGCCTCTGGGCACAGTGGTGAAACTGGGCAAAGTGTTACCTTTTTCAGGAAGACAACTTCATCTTCCTCCATCCCCCAGCACTGGGAGCTGGAGGAGTCACCTCCTCCATATCTTTGCAAGATCTCCTGTTTTTTTACTAAAGAAGATTTGGGAGCTTTTAAACACTGAGTTACACTTTGGCCTCTCCAACCAGCCTGCCTTGAGGAGTGAATATTCCATTCCCAGGGGAAAACTGAGTGTCCAGCAAGTGCTGGGGAGCATCCCTGCTCATGCCACCACTTCACAGCAGGATCCCTCTGGTCCCTTGCCATTCAGCTGCAGTTGGAGGAATCCCTTTCTGTGAAGTCCTGAAAGCATTCCTGAGCCCTGACACAGCCCAGAGGCACACCTAAGGAAGAGAGATGGGATTTTAGGAGAAAAGCCACATAGCTGTGGCTTCCACTGCTGTGATGAGATCTTGTGCTCATGCCATTACCACATTGCAGCTGGGCACTACAGGGTGTGACAGGGCAGGAAAACCACGCGAAGGGACTAGAAGCTTCTCTCGCTGGTGGCAAGGACAAATTCTCTCAGCAAGAATCGACCACTGCAGAGCCTCAGAGCAAGAGCTCTCTGCTTGTCCCTTTGGCCATGAACAAACTGAGCCCAACTGCTCCCAGGCCCCAGTGACAGCTCTGCTCTGAGCAACCCAGACTGCCAGTTTCACAGATGCTCCTCAGATCCACGCGAGACTTGTGTCCACCTCGGTGCTGTCCCCAGAAAGTGAGGGGGGAGGCCAAGGTGGGGGATCACGCGCTGAGCACACCAGACAAAGCAACAGCCACAGCCCAGTTGTTTCAGCCTCCTGCCTAGAGTAGGATCTCGGAAGACGGCTCACCCAGAAACACGTACCTGCTGTGGGGCATTTGCTGGCAAGCAGGGAAAAGGAGGTGGAAGGACACAGGGAGGCCCTGCAGGGAGGCACTGGTAGCAGGATGTGCAGTGTCCCCAGAGGGTGTCCAGATCCACCTGGGTAGTGAAAGGAGCAGCTGGCATGGCAAAAATCCCTAAATACCTCTCCTTCCACAACACCTGGGCTTGGAGGAAGGATCAGAGCCCCTCATGACACCGGGAGAGGCAGACCCTCCGCTGCTGAACGCAGGAACCACTTGGCTGGGTTTTAAACAGAGCATTTTCCCAAGCTCTGCAATTAGGCGGCGATCCCATTGGGGAGTTCAGGAACAGGACGGTTTAGCCTGGCACCAGCCAGTCTGTCACGCTGGGAAGAGCTAACATTAACTCCCCACAGACAGAGGCGGCCCAGCGAGGTGGGTAAACTCACCCCACCCTCCGCACGGGTGCCGGAGCCGGGGCTGCTGGTGGCACCTCCCGACAGCCTCCCACCTCCTGCTCCTTTTGCACGCAAACAGCCCGCCGAGATGACCACATTTACTGCAGGTTTAGCTCAGAGCTTGGTTTGAAAAGGCGCTGCTTAAAATATCACGGAGCAACAAGACCTACGGCCATCACAGGCTCCCAGCCTGCTCCGGGGACCAGCTCTCTTCCCTCTTCCTAGGGCTCCCAAAGCACTCCCAGCCAAGGCCAACACTCCGCCTGGCAGAGACTCCATCAACACGTCCAACGCACATTCCTGGAGACATCCAGACTGTGCTGCTGGCACAGTGGTGCTTGGCACTGCCAGGCCTCTCCCAGCTGCCTGACGTCAACCGAGGAGTTAACAGCTTGCTGAAGGCCTCCTGGGGCATGCATGGGAGAGGAGCAACGTGCCCACCCTCTAAACAAGAGGTTGCTTGAACCGTTTCCTGATAAACTTGGTTCAAAATGGAAAGCAACCACAGAACATGTTTGGGTTTTATTCAGCCCTTTCTCTCTCCCCTGCATAAATTTTTAGGACAGTTTCTGAAACAACCCGTTTCAACAACTGGAGAATTTACCCGGAATAAAATACTGACCCCAGATGCTTGCCCCAGCAGAGCTAACACCCCACAGGCCCCTGCTCTCCTGAGGCACATGGCACAGCAGGAGGGCAGCACCCCGTGCACAAGTGGGCTGAGATCTGGTGAGCACACAGCGGCATCTCATGAAACATTACTCACTAAGTGTTCCTGGAATGTGGGGGACACCCAGGCCTGCATGGGCCACTGCCACTTCCAACAGACAGGACTGAACTGTAACGCTCTCCCTGAGAGCGATAGGTATCGGGAGGAGACGGGAAACACCTCTGCAATAAGTCCTTTGGGCTGTGATGGGCTTTGAAAGATCAAGCACAGTGTCAAGGGGCTGAGGAAAAGGAAATTCTGCGAAGGAAGCAAGGGCTACCTGCAACATGCAATGCTTCAACACCATACGGCCAGTCAACACCCCTGGTGCTGACAGTCACAAGCATGTGCCAGCTCCTCCTGCTGCAGGAGGCGGATGCCAGGGCAACCCCTGCACACGTAGTTATAGTGAGGACAGAAGAAGGCCCTTCTCACCTAGACGGAGCTCCCCGAAATTGCCGCATCCAATCTTCTTGCCGACCCGGAAGTTGGGACCCACCATTAAGACTCCCGAGTTGGTTCCAGCACTCCGGCTTCCATGACTGCTCCTTCCTCCACCTGTCTTGGACATCCTTTTACCTTCCTCCAGGTCCCCTTTCCCTCCTCTCTTATCAAAATCCATAAGTTTGTGATACCCCGGCCTCTCCACGGTTACGCTGCTGCCATACAAATCCCAGAGCTGCCGAAAGTTGAGGGGTGAGGAGAAAAGAAGCAGGGCTCTTCTTGGTTAATACACCATCACGGTGAGCAGTGGGAGGGCGGGGTGTGGAGAAGGAGGGATAAGCGGCCACCCACGGGTGCTGGGCTACTGAAATGTTAGTGCTTTCCAAGGTCCCGCCGGGATTGTCATCGTCGCCTGTTACAGGGAGTTCTTTGGTGGAGAGAACATCCTGTGGAGAGGGTCCTCCCAGCGTGGCTCCTTGGTCTCCCAGCTGTGGAAAGGAGACGGAGAAAATTAGCAGGAGGAAACAAGGAGGCAGAGGACAACAGGGTGTTGTGGGTCCCAGGCTCAAGCCCCCAGCTCTGCAGAGCCCCTCCAGCACCTTCCCTGCATTACGGATAACTCCCGCTACGATGAAGGGTGCTGCAACTGAGGGGCGGGAGAAGCTGTGGTACCAGGACCATGACAGGGTGCCCCATGTCTAAGACGCTGGCATAAATAAAAGCCTGGCCACAGCATGAGGTGAAACGCTTGATGAGCATCTCCAGGTCAGAGCCAGTGGAGAGTCAATTGACGAGAACAACGTCACCAACAGGGAAGGGCTGCTGGCAGCAGGGAGCCCTTCGGAGGCACCGGCTGAGGCGCTCGGGGCCAGGCTGCCGCTGGTCAGACCTGAGAGTCACCAAGAGCAGAGGACACACGTAAACCACTGCGTTACGGGACAAACCATGCCAGGCGTGCAATTTCCTATGAAGTGAAAAGAGGATATTCTCCCTAGGTGGCTGCTTGCCTGGAGGGTCCCTGTGGGTCCAGAGGCTGCGGCCAGCTGAGTCAGGGTGCTTCCCCCAGCACCAACCTCCGTCACGGCTGGGCCGGGCCATCTGTGGCAGGCATCCTGTGCCAGGACGCGTCGGGGAGGACACAGTTTCTAAAGAGCTGTGCCTATGTGGGGAATGATCACACTCAGAGCTCCCATGACAGCCCGCCCAAGCCTGCCGGGCTGGAGTAAAACAGACACCGCTGAACAGGAACCCAGGGCTTACTAACACCTTGCTCACCTACACAGCGACCTCCTGATTGCCACTGCTTCCTCTGCTCTTCCAAACAAACCTTGATTTTAATTGCAAAGCTCAGTGTGAGGCACGGTGGCCAACAGGGCTGCTAGCCACAGCCTGAGCAAAAGCCGCTGTGACACGCACTGACAGCAACTGATGGCTGTTGATGCTTGTTTGCTTGGTGGTCGCGCAGCACCTTGCCTACCTCATGTGTGCGGCTCCCAGCACTTCCCAGTGAGGCTGGTGGGAAGTCCCAGGCACAGTGGGGTAACCCGGGGTTCCCCTCAGCCCCTGCAAACAGCCAGGGCTTGGCTCAGCCCCTTGAATCAGGGAGCTCCTTCCCCTGCGCACACCCCTGCTCAGTGCAGGGGGGTTGGACCAGATGACCTTTAAAAGGTCCCTTCCAACCCAAACTATTCATAGAATCTATGATATCGGCTCTGCGCAAGTCCCTCGCCCTGTGCAGTGACTGTGTTCACACGGGTAGAGCCCAACATCGAGGCCACATCGGCCCCTCACTCCCTTCCAAAGGGGTGGAATGACAAGTACTGTTGACCAGCTCCATGCTCAGGGAACCACGTTCCGAAGAGGGAGCTGCACTCTCCCTCCATCCCAGACTCCCACTGGAGCTGCCTAGGGGGAGGTCAGGCTCTGTTCCTCCTCACAGGGGACACCCACACGAGAGGCGGATGGAGTGTGCCAGCAGGACAGCCAAGAAGCTTAAAAGCGGGCTGGAAAGCACAGAGGGTCAAGCAGGAGCCGGGTGCACGCTGGGAGGCCACGTGAGAGACAGGCACATGGACGCATGCACGCATGTCCCGCTTTCTCATCATCTCTGGTTTTGCTCCCAGCTCAGCCCTCATTGTGTGTGGAGTGAGCTGAGCTGGGAGGCAGCCCCCACCCCTCCCTGGCTGCCCCCCGCAGCCCTGCTCCCCCTCTCACCACCTTCCTTTGCTCCTCTCCGGGCTCCCGTGACGCCCACCAAGAGCCCTGGCTGCCGTGGCCTCATTACCTGTGGGTTAAACAAGCAAACCCACACCCCTCCAGCGCTCAGACTCCAGGAAATGAGCATACTGCAAGTCCTGATGCTTGGCCAAACCCTGTAAAACTTTTTTTATTGGCTCTCAATAGCTATTAATAACAAAAAAAAAAAAAGGCTTCTTGTGCTAAAGGGTGCATGGGGGGAAACGGGGGAGGGTCTAAGAGCAACAGAGGGTAAACGACACCGAAGACAGAGCTCAGCATGGGAGAAGGACCAGCTGCGTAAGGGCCTATGGGCAGGGGAGCTGCCCCATTCCCAGTCCTTGCCTGACACCAAAACCTCACCAGGGCCCACCACACCATCCACAGCATCCTGGCAAACTGCCGCTGCTCTCTAGGAGGGACCGGAGCTGCAGGCACCAAGGGCGCAGGGTGCTGGCCCAGCTCCTCAGGGCTGTTGTGGGTACACGACACCCACCTGTGGGATTTGCCTGTTCAAGTACTGGGGAACAAGGCTTTCGCGTGGGATGGGAGCCAGCTCCTTCCATCACAGGTTCCATCCTCCGGGCCAACACCTCCAGAGCATCCCCAGAGGACAGCAGCCCCAGCACAGCCTGGCCCTCCAAGGCCACCCCCAGCAGGCCAACATCTGGGGACCATCCTCCTGCACCCAGCACATCTCAGCCAAGGGAAACTGAGGCACACAGAGTCTTGCAGCTTCCCCAAAGGCGGGCACCTGCGGGCCGGCTCCTGCCCTGACGCTCCCTTCCCTCCGGCAGCCAACAGTCTCCATCCCGTGCCAGCAGGAAGCAGGGTGGGAGCGGCAGCAGAGCAGGGCTTCCCTGCGCTTTGTTCTCCCCCTGCCCCAAGCGCACACGGCTGACACGTGATATCCTGCTCATTCTTTGCTCTCCCAATAATTTCCGCTCCGGGTTCGGCGCATGGCGGTGCCCTCCCGCCTGTCTCACACTTCTCCCACCTCTGCTGGGCCTTGTGCAAGGGCACTGGGGAGCCAATTTCCCCTGGGACCTCCCAGAGCAGGCAGCATGGCACAGTCCTCTCGGCATGTTTTGGGAACCACTCTCCCTGGACATGGCTCCAGCCACAAACTGGGGAAGGGGAGGTAGCCAGCAATGCATGGGTTATGCCACTTCATACCCCGTTTTCGTTCTGAATCAGACCTTTATGTTCTGTCCCAGGGGATTTCAGGCCCAGACTGTTTGCACAAAGTCAAACAGCCAACAGCCAGAGCAGAGGGAGCTCTGAGCTTGGGATTTTTTTTATTTTTTTTATTTTAAAGAGTTATGGGTCAGTCTTTGCAAGGGAATTTCAGACAATGGAGCAAGACGGAGCCCTAGCAGAAGGGAAAAAATAAATACTGTTTCCTGCAAGCACTGGGAGACTGTGCTGTCTTCCTCCGGCCCAGACAAACACAGGCAGCAGCGTAGCGTGACTCTGCCGCGGGAGCAGCCCTCCCCAAAGAGCCCGGCTTCAAACCCCGGTTTCAAGCAGCTGGGCCAGTGCAACGACCAGTGAGGCCACAGCACCGACCCCGGCACTGTGGCTGTGTGCCAGCCGGCTGCCGCACTGCAATTCCCCCTTTCCCAAAGCCGGGCGGTCAGAGCAGTAGGAAGTCACTGAACCGCGTCTGTGTGAGTCAGGCCAGAGCAAGTGATGCTCCTCCAAACTCTGCCCACCAGCCTCCCCCGTGGATGAGCCACGAGGAGCTGAGGCTGGGAGGAATCTATTTTCATATCCGAAGAGTGCCAAGGAGAGGCAATGGCTCGCTCTACCTCGTTACAAAAGCAGGACCCACCTCTCTGTGTGGTGTCAGTGACTGGTCAGGTTTTCCACTCTGTGCCATAAAGAGATCTCTGGCCTTTAAAATTGAGAACAACCTAATTAGAAACAGAAACCATTGGTAAAATCCCAGGACTCCCACTGCTCTGGAGTGAACAGCCCTGCAAAACCCGTGTTTGTTAAAACACCAGCCTCTGGATGGGCAACAGGGACCCAGATCCACCCCGTCCTGCCACCCCGGGGTAGCAGCACTGTGGGGAAGATGCCCCTGACAAAACTGACGGCACATTGTTGCATTAATGAAAAGGAATCCTCACCTAGGTTGTCACATCGACGCAAGCAGCCTCAGAAAAGCACCTTCTAGACTGGATTTGTTGGCCTGGTATCAAATCTGATGCAAGATGAGACTAAGAAAACTTCTTTCTCTCTTTGGAGGGAAGGGGAGGAGGGAGGTGGAATAAGGAAAAAAAAAAAAAAAAGTTGGCGTGAAGTTTGGTAGAAGAAATTCCAAAGCAAGCTGTGGTCTTAAAACAAATAAGCACTGCCCTGCAGTGTTTGCAATGCAAGTGCTCCCAGCCAGGGAACTTGAAAGTGAAATAAACTCCAGACAAGTGCAAGTGACTTCAGCACCTCCCCAAAAGAGAGCCACAATAACACTGAAACACTGAAAGTACTATAAAGGGGGCAAAAACCACACTCAAGCAATAACCTGAAATGCAAAGAAGGGGTTCATGGTGGTTTTGTTGAAATACTGGGTTCTTTTTATTTGCCATCTGGTTTTGAGCATGCCAGGTCTGCTCCAGTCACATTTACAAGCTTTTCCCTGCAGTCATGAAGGTGAGAGAAAGGGATTGGGGGTGGGGGGTTGTTTGTTGGTTTCTTAAAAGAAAAAGCTGCAATTCTAGTGCTAGCCCTTGTCTCTGAGACCCGTGACTTCAACTCAAACACCAAGGTTCGGGAAGTTCCTGGCTACATTTGTAAGTTTAAAATGCTGAAAAGTTGTATTTTTAAAAATTTCTTTCCTGTATAGTGAAACCTCATGGCTGCTGAGAAAGGACCTGGACAATACCATCTGGGGCACATTGTTCTAGGGCCTTTATACACACACACAGTGTTCCTGCCCGAAAGAGGTTACAATTAAACGGGGCAAGACAAAAGAGGGGAAGAGGAGGAAAAAATAGCAGCCGGAGCAGGGAAGTGACTGGCGAAGGTCAGAGAGCAGGTCTGTGGCGCTTCTTGGAAGAGAGTCCAGGTGTCACAGACCAGCCAGTACCCCGAGGCGGGTACGATGCTACCAGCCACAGAGGCTTGACCGTACCGAGCCCTGATCTCCGTAAGCCTTTGGGATGGTTACTTGAAACTGGTTTCCCCGTGTACTCTGCGCTGTACGAGCAAAAGAGAAACACAGCTGCAT